GCTCAGAAACTTCAGATTTACGCTAATGCTCTTAGAAATTATGTTCAGTACTGTATAACAAGGGGCACTTTAGAAATGTCTCTCCTCCGCTGATATATGTGTTTTCCCTATGGAGAAAGCTATATATAAATATATATATGTACACTTTGGGATTCAGAAGATCTAATTTGTCCCAAAAAAAATCAATAAATATGAAGTTTACAAGAAATCTCTTCTGTTGTTGAATAATATTAGTTGCTGGTAACCATAGACATACCATACCACAGAAAAAAGTAGCAAATGCGTTTTCGATGTAGTTTTGAGAAGACTTTTCTGTCCCATCAAGCCCGACTCGGAGCCTGTAGGTTAGCAGAGATGCTTCCACCGAGGGCAGGCGCTGGGTCCATCACCTGCGGCGCTGTGCTTCCCGACCTCCCAGCCTGCGTGCTCCCCACTGTTCTCGCCACCCTACCAACAGCAAAAACGAGCTCAAAAGCGCGACCTGTGCTAAAAACTTCAGCCAGCACAGTCGTGTTTGTTTGAAATAGACACCAGCAGACCTGTGTGAGCGAAACCCCTCGGGCAGCTACAGTTACACGCAAAAATAGTGTCTTGCTTTCACGGCTCAGCCAGGCCGGGGAGCGGGGTTGCGCTGTGCCAGCAGACGGGCGGCTTTGCTCCTCGGAGCCTGGCCGAGGGAGCCCCCACGGCCGCGCAGCGCCGGGCCGGCTGCCGAGGAGGAGCGGGCTGGTGGCCGGGCACCTCCGCTGCTCTGCTTCGGGCTGCTTTCCGCGCTCACCTGCCGAGTGCAGGCAGAGAGGAATAAACCCAAACTGCTGCTCTACAGTTGTCCTGAAAAGAGTTCTTACAGCTGACACTTTAGATATGGGAATGTATTCCTGACCACACTAATAAAAATTAGCCAGAACCCCATAGTTTAGCCTAAGAAGGGAAATGACCTGATTTCCCACGTTCTCCGCAGTGGCTTGAACAGGGTCCGAGCGGCAGTGGGTCAGTTGGCCCTCCCTGTGCGCGTGTGTGTTGGTGTGCGGCGGCTGATGCCTCCATGTGTGCTTTGCTCTGCCGCAGCCGGGAACGAGGTGTGTGTGAGACTTCTCTCTGAACTCCTGGGGCTGGTGATGGCACCGGCACCAGCCGGTGGCTGCCTCTTGCTGTCCGGCGTTTGCAGTGGTCCTGGCTGGAGCCACTGCTGTCCTTTGCTCATCCTCGGATTGCTCAGGATTTCTAAAGCTGATCAAAACCGGTGGGGAGGTCAAGGGAGAGGGAAGAGTTTAAAAAAGGCAGACAAACTACCAAAAGTAGTTATAACCATTTTTTGCATGGTATCAGGTGGACAAGCGGTAGGGATTTTTGAATTCCCAATTCACGAGCTGGGTTTTAAAGCCCTGCTTAGGGTTGCACTCCTGTCCTAGTGCAGGGTGAGGGACTGCCTTGGCTGGAGAAACCTTAGAGTTATTCAGAGTATCAACAGTCTCAGTCATGCCACCGCTGCTGGGGACATGGTGACTCGTGCCCAGACGCGGCGACAGCCAGGCTCTCGGAGCAGCATTCCCCGGGGCTCCTGCCGCTGACATCTCCAGCTGGGCCGGTGCGCCACGGTGGTGGCAGCTGCTGAGGGCCACGTCGTCAAGTCTTGACTCACACCTTTCTCAGGCAAAACCCACGCTGATCTCAGGAAAGACTGAGGA